TAAACAACTCGACGGGCGGAATGGGATTGGGATGGCGAAGCCACTCCGTGAGAGCTGGCTGCCGGCAGAATAGAAATAAAATAATAGACACCCAGTCCGCATTCAATTTGGCCTCACCTCCTTGAGCCGCTGGCATCGTAAATGAAAATGTCGTCCATTGCACGCTCGGCCAGCGTTCATTTAAACAGCATTTTATGGGGCAACGTATGTATCTAAGTGGCGGGCAGACCGCCGGCCCTCGTATTGTAAATAATACAGCATAATGCTGGCCAGCCCAGCAACCATTTCAGCCAACCCACCGACAATCCGCCAAGTGTGGCCAAATCCAAGTTCCGGGGGGACGCACGCGTACACTTCAATTACCAATGCGATGGAGGATCCGCAGGTTTTCCTTCTCCTAGTCGGTTGCCTTTAGTCTTTGGGGACTGGACAGGTTCTGCCAACTACTTAATTTTTCGTACCGCTGCATTCAAACTTTGGCTTTCGCCTTGTCCCTGTCCGCGCTGGGCATTTTTATGCTTTCTTGATTTCTATTTATTCTGCCTGTCGCCATCGCCATCGCCACTGCCACTGCCTTTGCCACTGCCATCGGCTTTTATTTGCTGCCGTTCTTGTCCGCTGTCGGCCCTCATAATTTGCGCTTTGTTTTATTGTATGCAGCTTAATTCGCCGACCCGCAGGCCCCCAAAACCCGTACTCCCCGGACTTCCTCTTTGAAATGTGAGTCACGTTTAAAGTTCTGGGGCCTTAAATGGCATGCTTGCCATGATTATGGCGGCAGAATCGCCCTCTGTAGGTTCGATGCCATATATAGCGCTAATTGTGCACATTTTGCGCTTGTTATAAATAAACGCACTCGACTCGCTGTTCGTTGCCCATTTGCCCATTTAAGCCCTTGTCGTTGTTGTTACGCCTTTTGGCCGGAGCGTTGGTTCGATTAAGTTCAATGGGGGCCATCATTTTTTGGCAGCAGACGGAAAACCTAAAATTGCATCGATAATTAAGACACTTTAGCAAGTTGCGCTGGCGCCATTTGCTTTTAGCTTGGCGTCGAGAAACTTTAAAACTTTTCTGGTGGAAATGACTTGAAGACTTTGAAATACTTGTAAATGATTCTGTATACCAATTAGAACAGATTAGAGTCCCAGGTTAAGTAAACAATTTTGTAGGTATGACTAGTAAACTTTTTTTTCGTTTTTGTAAGAACTTTAGTTTTGGTTTAATAAAAATATTTTGCTAACACACAACATATTTCCGTGTAACGCTTCCGAATAGCAGACACAAAATCCAAATCATTCCATGCGAATAGAGTTATCTGTGACAGGCTTAATCCCAATGCAATATTTATTTGTAAAAGCACAGTTTTGTGTGTACATGTTGCACAGATTGCCTTATGCAACGGCTGCCACACAGACAAACCGTTACCACATCCGATGAATGTCCGACTTGGTTTTGCAGTGCCCAGAAAAAAATTATTAAATGTCCTTCATTGTCGGCTCAAAGCCATACGATTTTGGCGTTTTTTGTCCCCATCCTGATTTTGGTTATTTATTGTTTTACGGTCTGTTTTCGGAATATTTTTTATTTGGCATTGGCCTCTGGGGTTGAGCATTAAATATGTATAAGTATTGATAGATTGGGTCCCGGGTTGATTAACATTTAAAATGGACGTATGTGTTGATATATGCTTCACACGCGCTTATAGAGACATTAACATTTATCAAAAAAACAAAAATAAATAGCTGGTAAGAGAGGGAAGTAGGCTGCTTAACATAAATTCGCCAATAGCCGCGAAAGCGCAGGATGAGCCCTGAGGACAATGCCAACCGCAATGGCGATAAATAAAGATTAAAATCTCTGAAACGGTCACAAAAGTGGCTGGCACTTCATTTCAATTTATGTACATAAGTATTTATATGCCGATGCTTTCACGCACACACACTCTCACGCACACACATGTGGTGTGCGTGTGGCATTGCGGCGATAAATCAAAAATCTCTGCCTACTTTTTGGTGTCATAAGGCCTTACTCCAGAACCCTGTCACAGGACCCAGTGCGTATATTTGTTTGCATTGCTGCCGCACACAATAAATGCAATTTCATGTTTCAATTGCAGGAAAAAAAGCGAGAATTAAAGTCAGCAGTTCCCTTGATGGTAGCTATAGCAAGAAAAACAACAACAACGAGGGAAGTTGTTGGCCCAATGGAAAATCAAAATGGCGACGACCAAGTGAAATCATTACGTATACGCAGCGTTGTATTAAAATTCACAGCGTGCCTTGTGATTTTTATGCACGCGTGTTCGCTCTGCTCCTTCGCCCCGAATTTTTATGGCCATTAAATCAAAGTACAAATAAAAGAAAGTAAATAAAAAAATTACGTTACTGCCTTGATAGAGGGCAGGGTGAGAACTCTGTAGCGTTGCCTTTTGGTTTCAAATGAAAAGCTGAAATCTTGTCATAAAAATGCGTGAATTCGTAAAGTGCACTTTATGCGCAACGTTTGTGAACTCCACTCGAACTTAATGAACGGTCCATGGGGAAGTCAGAGTCGGTGGCAAGTGCATAAAGAAAATAAGTAAATAAAAAGTTCTGATGGATGCACAGATAGTGGCGCTCTGAAAGTGAAAAGGGAAACATGTGGAATTCGCTTAACCTTGGTTGGGGCTCAAAAGCTGGGGTTTTTAGAGTTAATCCCCGATTTTTAAGTAATTAATTATGACAAGTTCCGGCTGGTAATTTCCTCTTAATTATACTTTAATATTTGAAACGGCAGCTGCCATACGCACATAAATATTTTGCATAGCTTCTGGCTGGAAATTTTAGCCGGAATGACGTGAAAAATGTTACATAAACAATTTGATGGTAATTCACATAATATCTGTACATTTACATATTTTGCAATGCGGCTGCTCCACATAGAAAATATTTTAGTTGCAGCACCGACATCATCAGGAGCAGTCAGCTCGCTTGGCTGCATTAATTGGTTTTTCGTTAAAACATTTTCTGGCTAAGAAGGGCAGAGATGGGAGGTGTTGAAACTATGTATTTCGTATGCAAATGCAAATATAATGAGCTTTAACTCGATGCCATGCATGCGCGGGTGTTAATTTTGCGTCTGTGCCTGTCTGAGTGTGTGCGATTATAATGCTGGGGAAAATATTTTGTTAATTTTTAATTTTAATTGCCGTCGCTTGTTTGGGAACTTTGTTTTATTTATTTATTTTCGCTGGTGCTGAATTTTGCATAATTATGTACTGGCAGGACTGTCAACATGGCAACATTTTTGAAATCGAAATAAACATTTTATTATTTATTTGTCAAATACAGAGTCGACGAGTTCGTTTCGCTCGGATTGCAGCGACACATTTGGTGGGTGTGTATTTATTTTTTTTGTTTTTTTTGGGCAGGCGTGTGACAGCGCATCAATTAAACTAATTGTGCATTTAAATTGGCAAATTATTGCCCGATCCTTAATCATAAATTATTTATGCAATCAATTTGCATAAAGTCAAATAAGCCGTGGAACATTGTGTTTGTCCTTTGCCACGTGGTCGCTGCATTCGATGGGGCAATGCAATTTAAATTTTCTATAGCCGCTTTGCTTATTCTTCAGCTGGGTGGAATACGAGATTAGGCTTTGGTCGGTTGGATCGGCCAGTGCTTTTATTTTAATTTGCGGTCAGCAACCGTTGCCGTTGCCGTTGCCTGGTGAAAAACCAATTAAGTGTTCTCTAAAGCTGGCGTTTTCTAGGGGCGCGTCAAATTGAAAACCATGCGCGAAATTTAAGCATTTTTCACCAATTTTTTTGCCACTGCAACCATTTCTGGTTGCCAGTGCCCGACTTTTTCCAGTATCCGTTGCTAACTTTTGTGCAAATTTAATTAAATTCTTCAGCTCTTTGAGCCGCAGGGTGGCACCCTTAACGCATAATTTGTCTGCTAAACCGAGGAACTGTGGTAAAAACAGGAAAACTGCAGCTAAACAACTAAAAAAAACGTATTCGAACGACCATTAAATCGTAGCATACTACTGAGCCAGCGATTTTCGTTTTGTTTTTTGGTGATATTTAAGGGTTAAAGGTAAGCATATAAGTCTCAGTACAATGATTTTTAATCACAATAAACAAATGACTTTTTCTTTCGTTACGTAACCCTTTAAATAGATTTTTTCCCTTATATGTATATAATGATATGTTTTTTCAAATGCATTAAATGCCGCACGCACTAGTATTTACTAAAAAAACATTATTAATAGTTGCTGCCGCCGCTTTTCAAGCTTTTCAGCCATTTTTTGCTCACTTCACCACGTTTGTGCTAGACGTCATAAAAGTGCCTCTGAAAATATTTAAAAAGTGTTTTTCCTTATGCAACACCAACGACAAAGTGTTTGTGGCGTATGCGTATTTTTTTATGGTCCTCTTGTTGACATTTAAAAAAATAGCTGTCACAATGCATTTTCGCATTTTGCATTTCGCAAAGAGCGAGAGAGAGAAATAGCGAGAAAAAAGGTGGCAATAAAAAAGTAACAACAAGTGCCAAGGAGGCGTGTGTGTGGGTGTATAAGTGTGCGGTTGTGCGGACGACAGTGAGTGATAAAAGTTATGAACTCTTCGGGAAAAGTGGTGAAAAATTTAGAAGCGCTGTGTGCTCTTTTTGAGTGTTTTTCTAGTTTTTTAGTGTGCTGCACATTTATGAAAATAATTGCGGTTTACATTTCTGTAATTTTTTGCTTTGTCTATTTCCCTTGGCATTCCCGTATTTATTTAATGCAATTTATTTATATTTGCAGCTTGCTTTATGCTCGATTAAACAAAAAACCGCAAAAAAAGTTAATTGAAAACTGAGCTGCAATTAAAGGATGCAATACTTAATGATATTTAAAAAAATGAATGCCAAAGAAGTGTTCTGTTTATCAGTCGACGGACATAAATAACAATTTTATTATGAATGTTTATAAAGTGCGCTATGAGATCCGTGATAATATTTATTTTCACTCACCTTGCTCGGAGCTATCCTTGCCGCGTTGAGAAAGAGGAAACCTTATCCTTTTCGTTGGATCCTGCCTCCCACTACAGATGCAGCTGCAGTCCGTGGAACATTTTTAATGTGTTTTTAAGTAATTTACTGCAACGAAAAACGTGAAAAATATGCAAATTAGTTGGGGGCCAAACAAGGGTAAGAGTGAAAGGGTGGAGTCGGGCATCTTATTAGCATACCAAATGACTGGTTGGGCCATTTCTTCAGGGACTTTTCAACTTTTGAGCCTGCTAGACAAGTGCCCGGCATATGTGTGTGTGTGCCTGTGTGTGTATCATTATGACACTAATTATGTCATACATATGCAAAAGTGGCAAACAAGCCGTGTCCATGTGAAGAGTGTGTACATGACACGTGTGTGTAAGCCACTTAAATTTCAACGCATACGTAATGCCTATTCATGAGCGATGTCGCCCCCGTTGCAGCCGCTTAAGGGCGTGGCTGGATACGTATGCTTAATTTAATTAAGCTGGCTGTTACTTAGAATTTGCAATGCAAGCCATAACCGTAAACAATTTGCAAGTCAAGAGCGTATAATGCAGACAAGAGGCGGCCAAAGGATCGGGATGGCGACTGAGTGTTACAACTTGACATGAATCCCTGCGGAATGGTTGCGAAAAAACCCTCCAAAAGAATATTCAAATTTCTGGAATAATATTATTCAATTTGTCCTGCATTTCACTCAATCGAATAAAATGGGAAAAGCGTTCTTGTTTGGTTACGAAACAGTTTCAAGAAAATAATTAAGAACTAAGCCCGGATTGCAAATAAATAACAAATTTCACCCCGAATGGCAGCCGGGGTGAAAGTGGCAAAGGTCTTGTCCTGTAATTCGGTTATTTCCTGCCTGCCATGTGCAAAACGGGTTGGGGAAATAAACTTGGCAAATCTACATATTTGAATACATTTTGGACTCTGCCATAAATAAGGAAACATCTTTGTGTTTCTTTGTTTATTTTGTATGCATGGCCGGCTCTGGTTCACTAAATTCATCAGCTCATCTCTGTCTGTCGCTCTCGTGTGTGTCTGTTATTTTGTTATTTTATTTTGAGGCCCGAAATTTTCTAATTGCACGCCGCATACAAATTGCCAGTTATCTAAACTGACAACTACTCAAGAATTTCTAATTCAATTGCCTTTTTGTGCAGTGGACAAGGATGTGGGCCCAAAAATGAATGAATACCAAATATGTTGTATTTTCTCAAATATTTATTTGACTTTCCATGCTTTTGGTTTGGACACATCTTACGATTTGTTCACAATTTTAAGTGGCATGTTTAGCAGGGATTATCGAAGCATTTTGTTCACCCAAAGACGATGTATTTTTTTCCAAGCTTCGACAGCTATTGCTATTAATTGAAAGGTCGCACAGAGAGCAAAAAATGGGTTATTCCCCTAAATTAAAGGTCGTGGTCTCGAAAATCATCCAATTAAAATAGACCAATAAATGTATAAGTTCCATTGTTATTGTCCACATAAATCTAACATTTTTATTGAACTGATATTTTAAAACATTTATTTTTGTCTCGCAGTATCTCTTAAAGGCACAGAGAGCAAAAAATGGGTTATTCCCCTCAATTAAAAGTCGTGGTCTCCAAAATCATCCAATTAAAACAGACCAATAAATATATGAGTTCCATTGTTATTGTCCACATAAATCTAACATTTTTATTGAACTGATATTTTAAAACACTTCTTTTTGTCTCGCACTATCTCTTAAAGGCATCACATGAATGTGGAGTTTCTTAAATTGCTGCGATAAATGCTAGCACTGTTTTATCTACTATCTGCATGTATCGCGTTTATGGCAGATATATATCTGCTAATTTGCATAGGCTGTAAACCGCAATCCCTGACTGTTGCCACATAATGCTCCTGCATTCGTATTCAGCCAAGCATGCGGCAACATGCATTCAGACCGGGCCCAAAACTCCCCCCTTTCGGCTGTCTGTCAGCTCTGTCTGGCTGCATTTTCATATTGAAAATCACTGAAGTGGCAGACCAGTTTCCTTCCCCGCTGCGCGTTTTGTGTGGCAATTTCGGTTCTCTTACTTTACGAATGAAAGATTATAAAAAAGAGCTGAGCGCATTTTAATTTTAATAGACATGGGGCTGGGATCCGCTGCTCCTGCTGCCTCTGCCGTCGCTTTTCCGTTGATGTTGCCATAATGAGCACTGCTTAGGGCAGGCAGCTCTCAATGGATGTTAATAAAAGTGAGGCAGCCTCAGTTTTTATTGCCCTCCCACCGGCGGCCCTTTCGCTGCATCTTCTTTTTGTTAAATAATGAAATGTGCAAATGTGTTGCCACGTTGCCAGGCAAACCCACACACAGCACAGCAGAACACAGCACATAAAAAAAAGCATATGCATATGTATCTTGTGGATGCACGCGCTCCGCTTTTTTTTTTACATAATTACATAGCAGTCTCCCCCAAAGCTTGCCTTTGTTTTTATGTTTAGTTGCTAATTTATTTGTGTATGCATTTGGGTCTTTCATTCATGCAACTCCGGCTCTGTTCTTTTGTATATGAGTTTTCAGCAATTTCTGCCTTTGTTCGGCACATTTAGAATGTAGAATGGCTGTGCATTTGTAATTACTTCAATTGCAACTCCCTCAGTATCTTTTACACATGTTTCATGGGCATAATTCGCGCTTGGCTGACTTGGCCGGGCTGTAGCGCAAAAAAAGCCTTTTAAATGTTCGCCGAAACGATACTGTTGCCCTGCTTTGGTTTCCAGCACTTTCTAAGCTTCCTCGGCGGCTTTTTCCTACTCGAGCCATCATGGTTAGCTGAAGTTCTTTCCACAGTTGCGGGCTGCTTTTTACCGTTTGTTGCGGCTTCGATTTCCCATTATGCTGAAGGTAGGAAAAAGAAAACTAGTTCTTGTGCGGCGGCTCCCTCGCTTTTGGTTTTCTTTTCTAATCACGTTAGCCAACCGCAGCCGGCGCATTGAACCAGGAAAGTAGATTTATGCATTGTTCTTGCTGACGTTCTAGGTGTTGTTTGTTGTGTGTTGTTTGTTGTGGTTGCTTTTGCTGTTGCTGTTGCTAGTGACTGCTGTTTGTGCAGCGTGTTAATTACGTTCTTCTTCGAGTGGAAAGTCGATATTGCCATGTTGGCCAGGAAGCAAGTCGCACGCATTTACCACAACAAAGTTCCCTGGGAAGTTGGCCGAGAGCTCTGCTTCATTTTCCGCACGCATAAATCATCTTTTATTAGCATTAACACACGATGAGCAGCGGAGTTTCGGATTTCACAAGCCAAAAAAATTTATTTGACTTCAGCTGCCGGAGTTTTATTCTTTATGCTTTGCATGTTCAGCTTTAATTGAAATATATGGCTGACCTCAAAAAACCAAAGACCGGGCCATTTCTCACAGCACGCAAAGGATCGTGCATATATACGTGTATAGTATTTGTACGAGTACATCACTTTCGGGTGTATTACACTTGACCTTTGGCCGAATAAACTTATTCGTAAAAAGGAAAGCAAAGGAAAGCCTTGAAAAAAAATTTGTGTTTTCTCTTAACCTACTTCCCTAAAAAAATTACTCAGCCAACTGAAAAAAAACGTATCTGAAGGATACAAAAAAATCTTTTCACTTTTGTTGCTCCGTTTTTCGTGTTCCGTTTCATTCCGTTTTTTGTAATCAACAAAGTTCAACGCTGGCATATAAATATTTGCATGGCCGGGACCAGAAAGGAAGTTCAAGCAAGAAGAAGAGAGAGGACTTGCCGCGCACTTATTATTATATACGAGCAACAACAATGACAACACCAACAAGACGGGCAGCTGACGCGTAAATGTGCAAAAGCTTTAAATTAAAAGTGGCGGAAGGCCGGGAATGGAAATGGGATGCTGCTGCTGCTGCTGCTGATGGTCCACTACTGTGGGTCTACTGTGGGTTGTTGTGTCAGCTGTCGTTGTCTGGACTTCATTTTATGCGCTGACAATTTCTCATTATTAAAATTACAGCACCCAGACAACAGGAGAAAAGAAGCTGCAAGAACGACGAGGAAAGTTGGTTACTTGGGAAACAAATGGTTCTATGCTCTTTCGAGTACGTTAATTTCCTTATCGTTATCAATAGGTTAATGGAAATTAAAACTTGTGAAATTTATATTCTTTTGAGTAATGAGACTCCAAGTCATTTGTCTATTAAAATAAAACTTCCATAAATTAAATGCTTGAGTATTGAGAATATCCTATTCACGTGTGTATATATTTAAGTAAAATATCTACTAAAATTTTTTTTATCGGAAAGTTTTAAATTCACTTCAATTAAATTTGCTGTAATTATTCCATTGTTACCAACATCACCTCCAGACTTAACAACCTTCTTTGGGGAAATGAAAACGCGAGAGAATGAAAAGGAATAAACAAATTATCTCCAGTTGTGTAAATGTGCAAATAATCACTCCCTGCAGCTTCTTTATTTCACCTGCAGCGCTTGCAGCAGAGCACTCCTCCTATAGTGCGGATCAAATGGAATATTACCTTTCGATCCGCGGAGGTGTGCTCATTAGTGCTTCTGATCCATACCTCCATACAGCTCCTGGCCATTCGGTTGCCATTCAGATGCTATTCAGAATGCGTTCGTCTGTCAGCTCCGCGTCATTTGGCTGGCATATTTGTGTTGGCTACATAAATCAGCGGTCGCATGTCATTAACTTGCGATAAATCTGTCATAAACAATGCAACACATAAATTGCCGTCGATGCCGAGAGGGCGGGGGGTGGTGGTAATGGGTTCCATCACAGTTGGAGGCGTGGCAGTCATCATCGAGCCAAACAATGTCGAAAATGCAAATCAGCACAGTACACTCTGTGTCTGAGTGGGTGGGTGGTGTTGGGTGCTTGCCACGGAAGTGGGTGGAGTGCCCCAAAGGGGCGGAACTTTTAGCCGCTGTCGCGGAAGCGACAAAACGGGCGACATTATGATGTTGACGAAACAAAGGCTCGTTTGTTGGCCTCTGTTTGTGCGTAAGCGGTCGATACGCGTTTGCGTGTTAATTCTGTTGATGTTAAAGCGATTTTAAATTGATGCAACAAACCTCCATTTGCCTTACCAAAAACTAAAAGCCA